TTCAATCTCTATCAAAATAATGGCAGGCTTTTTTTTTTTGGTAGAAATATATAAGGTGATTCTAAAATTTACACAAAAACATAAAAGACCAAATAGCCAGAAAAAATTTTGAGAAAAAAGTAACAAAAAGTGAAAAATTGACATTAACAGATTTTTAAATCTTAATATAAAACCATAGTAATCAAGATATCAAGATAGTGTAGTTTTTCCGTCCTTTTGAGACAGGGTCTCACTCTGTTGCCCAGGCTGGAGTATAGTGGCGCAATCTCGGCTCACAGCGGCTTCAACCTCCAGGGCTAAAGAGATCCTCCAGCCTCAGCTTCCTGAGCAGCTGCCACTACAGGTGCACCCCATCACGCCCAGCTAATTTTTACATTTTTTGTAGAGATGAGGTCTTGCTATTTTGCCCAAGCTGATCTCAAACTCCTGTCCTCAAGTGATCCTCCTGTCTCAGCCTCTCAAAATGTTGGGATTACAGGTGTGAGCCACTGTGACTACCCAAGGTAATGCAGTACTGGTATAAGAATAGATACACAGATCATAGAACATAATTGAGTGTCCAGAAATAAAAGTTTACATTTATGACAGAGTTTCAACAAAGGTGCCTAGGCAATTCAGTGGAGAAAGGATGGTCTTTTCAACAAATGGTGCTGAGATAATTGGATTTCTACAGTAAAAAAATAAATTTAAACCCTAATCTCATACCATACAAAAAATTAACTCAAAATGGATCACATACCAAAATATAAGAGTTAAAAGTATAAAACCTCTAGGAGAAAATATCCATAACCTTGAATTAGGCAAAGATTTATTAAATGTAACACTAAATGGATTTCATCAAAATTTAAAACTTGTTCTTCAAAAGACACCATTAAGAAAAAAAAATTTTTAAGTCACAAACTGGGAGAATATAACTACCAATCATATTTACAATAAGGGACTTCTATCTCAGACATATGAAAAACTTACAAATCAATAATAAGACAACCCAACTAAAAACGGGCAAAATATCTGAATAGACATTTCACATATGATATACATTACGCTAGTAAACACATGAAAAGATGTTTATTGTTAGTAGTTATTATAGAACTATAAATGAAAATTCATTAGGACATCTATAAGCAAAAAATGAACAATACCAAGTATGAACAAGTATGTTGGAACCAGAACTCATGCACTCTGGAAAACAGTTTGGAGGTTCCTTAAAATGTTAAACATTGACTTTCATACCACCCACCAGTTCTACTCTTAGAAATCTTCTCAGGAGAAATGAAAATACACGTTCATGCAATAACTTACGTACAAATATTCACGGCAGCATTATTTATAATAATTCTAACCTGGAACAATCCAAATGTCCATTAACTTGTGAAAGGATAAACAAAAAGTAGTATATCCATACAATGGAATACTACTGGACTATAAAAAAAGAATGATGTAATGATACATGCTACAACACATAGTGATTGATCTCAAAGACATTATGCTGAGTAAAAAAAATCAGTCATAAAAGACTACACATTTTATCATTTCTTTTATATAAAATTTCCAGAAATGTTTAATCTAGAGACAGCAAAAGTAGATTAGTGCCTGGGGCTAGGCTGGGAGTGGGGATTGGCTATAAACTCCATGAGGGACCTTTGTGGAATGATGGACATGTTTCAGAACTGGATTATGATAATGGTTGCACAACTTTATACTTTACTAAAAATCCCTGAATTGTATAAATTGAATAGATGAATGGACTTTAAAACATTTATTGAAGTATTATTTACTTATTGTAATTTAGTGTGCTGAATGGCTATATCCCTCAGCACTGGCCAGTACCTACTTTTAATCTTTTTTTAAACCAGATTGGTTATTTTAAAAAATTACATCTCATTACTCTTAATAATGTATATTTTTTTTATTTCTAGTAAAACTAAACATTTGTGTCTACTTGGTCTTCGTTACTTTCCTATAAAGATATACATCTTTTCCATAAGGAAATGTGGGATGCTATCTTTTTAAAATAGCAAACCTTTTTCAGTATATGTGGTACAAACATTTTTTCCCAGTTTTTCATAAATTTAAAATTTTTGTTAACAGTTTTTTTTTGCCATCTTGAAATATTCATTTTCATGTAGCCAAATTTATCTGTGTTTTCATTTACAGTTTCTGTTTTTGGTGTTATGACAAGTAATATTCTTTTTAAAATTAACTATCACAAACCTTGATCACCATTAGTTAAGCATCTCCTGTGCTAATAAGTCCAATGCCACTGCTACTGGGCCTTCCATTTCAAGTAAACAGATAAAAACCTAATTTCGAATTTCAAAGCTAGAGGCAGATGGGCTTTCCTTCCTTAAACCTTTAAGTGTCAAGAGACATGACTGTTTACATGCCAAATTCATGGAAAATTGCCTCGTTAAGAGTTTCTGATGTGATACATTAGGCATTTAAAATAGTTCTAGTGATAAGGAACTGGAAACTACCAATTAAAAGAAAGATGTAAAAATGTATTTCCTGTGGCTAATCATGCCAGGATTGTGATTCTAGGCCTCACTGTCTGATGTCTTTGTACAACATCAAATCATCACATAACAACATGATCACTGTGGGCATTTGTGGATGTGTGACCAGAACAGTCTAGAACTCAGTCACTCATTGTTTCACTACCACCTGAGTCCATGAATGTTATCATTTCCTTTGTAATTCCACTCACCCACCACCCGTTACCTGATACAGGAAACTCACCTTTATTTACATCTCACAAACTTAAGAGATTAATATGCACTGAAGAACTCTTCACTAAGTGCTGTATTACTTCACAAAATACTATAGTATTTATAAGAAACCATTTGACTTAATGTAGCTATGATTATCACACACAAAGACACACATAAAACTTACAAAGAAATGTCATGAGAACATTTTAATATTAATACAGATGGTATTACAGCCCTGCAGTTGCATAACTGAGGGCTGGTCATGTTAAGATACAATCAGGGGAGACATCTGAATACCTGGTAACCAAAAATGACTCTGACTTCTTCTTTGTATGTTTGAGTTATACCCACACTTTTAAGGCCAGCCTAAAGTTAACTTTCTTTCCTTATCTTTCCTACTGCTTGTGGAATCTATAACTACACATTCTGGAACATATGCACAGTCTTATGTTATTCAACTGTTACAAGCTCCAAGAAGGCAAAACCAGTTATGTTCCTATAGCATTAAAACAGGGCTAGGATTCCAGATGTTTTCATTGACTTTATCTGTCCCACTTCTTGCTCTGCAGAACAACTTACTTAAATGCTCATTAAATAACATTTCTTGATTTCTAGGAAAAGTTGATCCAGCGGGCTACAAAGGCAAAAAAAAAAAAAAAAAAAAAAAAAAACTATGGGGACATTTTAAAAGTTTCTTATATCGTAGAGCAGACAGTTCTTTAGCCAAGAAAAATACTGTGTAGCATGTAAATGCTTTGGCAATTACCCCAGCTTTAAAGATGTTGAAGAGCTATGGCATGGATTGCCTCCAATTCTTTTTTGTATCTAAGCAGGCTTTACCTAATGACAGTGGTTTCTCGCATAAGTTCCGCTGAAATTCAGGATTCCATGAGGCTGCTCTAATATTTAACTGATAGATGGGCTGGCAATGATCACTGTGTTTAATCTGAGGTTGTTCTTGCTCAGGTGTCAACTGAGATCTTCAGGCATAAACAGAAAGCCTTCCTATTAATCAAGGAGAAGTTTTCCATCACTGGAAAACACTCTGATGTCCTGAAGGATGACACATAGGTGCCTGTACAGATTTTAGCCCCTAGTGTCAGGACTATTGGCTAGCTTATGCATGAGGTTTCCCTGCCTTCCAAATAAATAAAACCATAATTGTTATTTTACTGTTCTTTTCTTCTTCCCTCCGTCCCCTTGAGAGAGGTAGACAGTTCCCCCGTAATAATAATGGTTTCAGCAACTCCAGCCCTTGAATAAACAGCTATGAAGGGTTCCATCATCAGGGTCCATTATACATAAACTGTGCACACCTAACCTACTGTTTATGTAAACATTTGTCAATAATTCACAGGAAAAAAAGATTGCCCCCTGCTCACTTACTCTGTAACCCGTATCTTGATTAGTTCCTTTATGGGAATGCCTCTACTAGCATTCCCAACCCATCATTAACCTTCAGTCAAAATAACGACAACGGTGACATCATTTAATATTCTAATTCTAGTAAAACAGGGCTAGGAAATACTTTCATAAAATGTAAGTTTAAATAATAAATCTCAAGTATTTCTTCTTAATATGCCATCTGTCTTCTTACACTGGGAGTACCTTTGGATTTCCTAAACTCCTCTTGACTCACCTTTTCCTAAATGAGTATATAATGGGTGAGAATAAGACTTTGGCATCTACAGTATCTGATCAAATCTTCACTAGTAGTTATTGGTTGGTGAGATGCAGGACAATTTATTTCTTTAAGTCTCAGTTGAATGGGGATAACATTGCTCAAGGTGTTTTGAGAATTAAATGAGATAATGCAAGTCAAATTCTGCATAGCCTGAGGCACACAGTATGTGCACAACAAACTAAGAGTTTTAAACACTTTCAATTACTATTATTTTTAAAAAATGGAGTAGGAAGCAAGTTTCCACCCAATTCTCAGTAATAACATATAAGGGAAAAGCTTCTGAGTTTTTTAAACTTCAGCATTTTAAAGTAATGCAGTCACTCTCACACACAAATTAGTCCACGGTCTTTGATAAAACAGGATATTAGGTATAATTTTGCTTCAAACTGAATACCCACACTCGTTGACACCGTTGGAAACACTGAGGCTGGCGGTGGGAGGATGCAAGGCACTTGCTCAGGAACCAGCCATCACACCCTGGTTTCTCAGGGAGGAGGAAAGCCTTCCCTTCTTTCCCTGGGAAAGTCGCAGCCCCACCCCGAGGCAGATTTGTGTCTCCGAACGTGGTACTCGGCGTCCGGGGCCTGCGCAGAAGGGGACGGTCCGCAAGGGGTGGAAGATGGGACACAAATGACTCCAGTTCGCTTTACACGCAGAGGGGCGGACGGCGCACGGACCCCGCCTTCCCCAACTGAGTGTGGGTTCCAGGCACTGGGGAGGACCTGTTGGCCCCCTGACCTTGGACGAGCCATATTGGATACCCTGGCGCTGTCCCGCCTTCCACGCCGCCAACTCCGCCGCTCTCGCCGTGAAGCGCGGGTAGGTCCAGGCCGCCAGGCCCCGCCTCGCCGGCCCCCAGCCCTGATTGACACTGGAGTTGGTACATACGGGTCTGCGCGGAGGCGAGCAGGAGGGTGAGCGCTATTTTAAACATGGCTTTCTGTCTCCCTTAGCCTCGGAGCCACCACGGCGGCCGCAGCCAGCCGCGGGCGCAGCCGCAGGGGAATAATCCCAACATCTGCCCGATTTATTTTCTTCCCTCTCCCTATGTTTGGACGTGTTTCTCTCCCTGCTCTGTTTTTCCTTCACACTAATTCGCAACCTGGCAGTTTGCAAAAAGGAAACTCCCCTTCGGCATGGAAAGCCGCTTTTGCTTCTTGTTGTCGGGGGAAACCATTCCAGCAAGAATGAGTTCAAAAAGAGGGGAAACCGTGTCGCTGGAGAGAAAGTAACATTCAGAGATCGACGAGGACAGAGGGAGGGGGAGAGGGAGAGAGGAATGTCTGCAACAGGCATCTAAAAACAAGTGTGGAGGAGCAGAGATTCCCCATTCCCAGGTTACTACCGCGCGCGTTCTGCGCGAGCCATTGCAATGCCAGGATTCACTGTAAGCACAATTTTAAGGCCTTTTAAATCTTTTTTGGTAAGACTTACCTTTCTCTTCGGCATAATGACTATGTTGGTGAAGCAAAAAGTAAAGCAACCGGCTGGAACTGCTGGCGCCGCCGCTGGATGCTGCCTGTGCTGCTGCAGCTGCTCACACGCAGGGCACCGCGTAGCCCGGCCTCTTCGACCTGCACCTCCGCGGCTCCCTCCGGGGGCCCTCTGCTCGCCTCCCTGCTGCTCCAATGAGGAGCCCCGCCAGCCGGCCGCGAGGCCCCATTGGCCGAGGCAACGTTCTAAATTCCACGAGGGCACGCCCACCTCCGCGCGCGGTACGCGCTGTTGTAGTTTCCACTTCACCGAAAAATCTGCCTGGCGACTGAGCATGCCCAGTTCAACTAGTAGCCCCCAGGCCACACAATCCTGAAGTTTCATTGTTTCACTGCTCTCTCTTGGAGATTGTAAGAGTAAGAACAGTGTGTTCCTTCATAGGAAGGAAAAAGAGTAACAATGAACACGTAAACTTTATAATGTAAGTATATACACAGCAGGTACTTTATACATTTCCTACCCATAAAGACTTTTAATGAGTGTTACATGATGGGGACCTGTAAAGAGTGGGAAGGTACTCTGTTCTGGAAGAGCGTGGCAACCTCTAAACGTCTCCGTTTCCTCCTCTAGATATGCAGTGACAACAGTCCCTAAAATAACTTAGCTCTAATTTTCTAAAATCTGTGATTATAAATCACTCACTAATTCAGCCAACTTCAAACTAGATGTGAACAGGAATAGGACATGTTTATTATGTAAATTAGGAAAAGAAAGAACAAGGTAAAAACTGATTATTTTATATTTGAAACATATTTGAATCACACCTGTCATGTTCCACCTTATGCATGTTTCTTAACGTTCTGCAAGGCATAAAATGAGCGTTGCAAAAATACTTCTGAATTCATTTTATGAGACCAGATTTACTCTGCTATCAAAACCAGTCAAAGACTTCAAAAGAAAAGAGAGTCACAGACCAATATGTCTCATAAAACAGACACAAGAGTCACGAACAAAATTTTAGTAAATGAAACTCAACAACATTTAAAGGGACAATACATCATGACCTGTGGGGCTTATCTTGGGAATGCAAAGTTCCTTTTTTAATATCTGAGAATCAATCAATATAATTTGCAGAATTAATAGAATAAAGCGGGAAACAATCATTTTAGCACATGCAGGAAAAGTGCTACTTGAACAGGTAAGCTAATTGTGATGAACACATAGAGTGGAATACTACTCAGCAATAAAAAGGAATATATTTTCCTACATGGATGAATATCAGAAACAAAACTCTGCATGAAAGATGTCAACTACAAAAGATTACAATGAATGACCTCATTCATAGGAAATTATAGAAAAAGCAAAATTGGGCAAAGTTAGTTTCAGAATCAGTAGGCAAAGCTCACATCTGTCGAAGCCTTTTATAAATATGGCCAAATCCACTTTGGTAACACAGAGGCTGCAAATACGTATTAAAAATATCTTCAAAGAATGAAGTTTAATATTTCACTTTTTCTGTAATAATTTTCAGAATAAATTAATTGATCTAGCACACTCCAGAGGTAGTTAATGACTTTCTTTTTTGGAACATCTTTATGAACTCATGGATTTTTATATATTTGGTGTGCATCAGTGTATTGCTATCATTATTATTACCTTTTTAATGCTCATGTTACCACATCTTTAACCAATGCATGCCACTTCAAATTAGTGCCTGTGTTCTTTTGATAGGATCCCAACTATTTTTGATAGATTCCCTGTTCTTAGACATTCAGCGAATGACAATAGTATACTCAAACAAACTAAGATAAAATCCAGTTGCTTAGAGCTAGATAAAAGTTTACAGGTTAATAATTTTACCATTAAAATAATATTTATCATGAAGATTTATTGCAAGAGATTAGTCTGCCAAGTGCTTGATTGTTAAAAAAAAGTCAGTGAAAATATTTTTAATAAGATATGTGTGAGAAGGATACTGAGTAGCACTTGCAATCTGGATGGCTATGTTTCTTTATGGGGATGGAAAAGTGCCACATTAAAGGTAGTGCCTTGTTAATTTTTTTCAAGACCAAACAGTCCGATCAACAACAGCAAACAAAACTGTAAATGTTTTTGCTGCACATAATAAAAATTATCCAATGAAATTCAAGTTTGCTTGTTAGATAAAGAAAGTTGACTGTGGGGACCTTGAGTACTTGGAACCTTTAGTTCATTTACAAGTTATGAAAATAACAGTTTTGGTTGAAAAACAACAGCATCACTTATCTTTCCTTTGATGTAGATTGCACCTATCTGAGCACTATTCTAGGAAATGAAGTGTTCTCCCTTGTACCTCGAGTAGCCTTCAGGATATGGGAAAGTCAACAGAAACCTCTACTGGTGGCCCTGGAGGTAAGAGGAGTAGGCAAAGAGAATGATTTGGCGGGTAGCTAGAATTCTAGGCTAAGAGATAAAGACATCTGGGCAGAAATGAGCATGTCACATACAAGACAGTGAGGAGGTCAAGCTGGTAAGAAGTACAGACTCATTTATTTATTCCATCGAGCATTTCTACTATTTTGGAATATCAGCCTCTAAGACAGTAAAAGTAGGTTGCATATACTATAGCTAAGATAAACATGGATAAATTAACAGAGTTACTAAGAAAGAAGGAAGAAAAAAATAGTGAACAAACTTGTTTTCCAATTCCAGCTCCTCTCCTCTTTTTTCCTACTCAAAACTGTTGGAACTGTACACCTACTCCACATATTTCAAACAGCAGGGCAAAAGCATTTATAGTGTCATGACTATCATTAAGGAAAAGAAAGAGACAGAGACAATGACAGACACACACACATACACATACACAGAGAGAGAGAGAAAGAAAGAGAGAAGGGAAGGATAAGAAAAGCAAAGAAAGGGCCGAGCATAGAAAATATCAGAGTGTATTTCACATGGTAAAGATAAATAATGTTTCATAAGATACTTGTTTCTATTGTCCATATGTGCTCATATAAACACATCAAGAACACATTCATGTATGTGTGTGCATTAGATTGTGACATGAAATGTATTTTTAGTATGGTGTTGATCAAAAAAATTGAATGCCACTGCCAATGAATCTTGTGGATCTTTGGCATTCCAAAAATGCTTAATATTAAAATTGCTTTAGAGGCAGGATCTTAGTCTGCTGCCCCAGGCTGGCATGCAGCGGCACAATCATAGCTCACTGCACCTCAGACTGCTGGGCTAAAGAGATCCTTCTGCCTCAGCCTCCTGAGTAGCTATGTAGTTGTAAGCCACCACACCAGGCTCGAAAGGAAGTTTTCAAAGGAGAGAATAATTTGCAAATCACCTCCCTTTTGATTCTCTTTTCCTCCTTTAGGCAGACACAGACAGGGTCCCTTAGGCTTTTGTTGTAAGTAATGACAAATTACTAGTCAAGTCAGATCTAGAATCTACATATTGTTGCTTCTGATAGTTGCAACTGTACACCTACTTTGCATTTTTCAGACAGTAGGGCAAAAAAAATGATAGTCGTGACTCTCATTAAGGAATAGAGACAGAAACACACACACACACACACACACACAAACACAAACACACAGAGGGAGAAAGGAAGAAAGGGGAAAAGTGAAAATGATAGTGTGTTGCTTCTAATAGTTTGTAATTCCAGATTAAGTTACTATTCTTCCATAAATAGGCCAAAAAATTACACAGTGAAGAATTCAGGTGTGTAACAAAACAACATCAAAAACAACAAATAAGAGGTGGCAAAAGAATATTTTGTTTGTATTTTCTAGTCCAGTCTCTACTTTGATTGGGTGCTAACTTTTGAAGAGACCAAGGTTAGTTTTTACAAAGCAAAAAGGAGAGTCCAAGAGCCAATGGTCCCAAATCCAATGAGCAACCTAATAACACTGCAGATACCCAGGCCTCAACTCCATGGTATTAAATGGCTAGGCTTGGGAATCTGCATTTTCAAACGAGCTTTTCATGTGTTGCTTACACTATAATTTGGAAATTCCAGACTAGGCCCTTGCTCTTAACAAATATTTGCTGAAGGCTGCTACTTAGATTATGATGACAGATATCTATAAAAGCCTGTGGACTTCTTAACACACTTCCGGAGCAGGAGCATAATTCTGTGAGTGAAACTTGCCCCGCAGACCTTACTTTGTGCTTTTGCTCTATCTCAGTTTTGCTGGGCACAGCCTGGTTATTTCACATTCTTCCTCTTCTCTAGTTGCAAGAAACCTAAAGAATAATTAAAAACTACACACATCCGGATACCTAGAAAAGTACATTCTTCTTCCCAGGCAGCCCTCTAGGCACCTCCTTCGGCCCCCATGAAATGAAAATTCCTGACCCCAAATCCTCAAAGGGAACTTACCTTGGCCAAAGCCCCACAAGCCACATCCTTTCAAGGCTAAATGTTAGTGATTGCATAAGCATATCTCAACCATATTAATAACAAGAGGAGTCAGGGTATTCTGTGACCTTCCAAGGAACTCACTCTTTGTTTTCCCAGCCTTTGATCAAATTAATATTTGCTCAGATTCTTTACTGCAGGTATGTTTTACACAGTTTTCCCATCCCTGGTACTTTTCAGGTTCAATCTCTGTGGTATTTACCTCTCCTTCTTGCTCCTGCTGCTTAAGCTCGTAAGACTGTGATTAATTTTCTCTTTGTAGCTCCCAAATGACTATTTGGGGATGAATTAGATACGATCAGTGGCTAGAACCAGGGATTGGACTACACTGGTTTAGCCATTCCTTTCTGTCAGATTGTTAGCATGGCTGGTGCCAAGAGCCATCTAGGCTCAAGGAGGTGAGAAGGTTAAGGGAAGGAAATCCCCAAAGTTCATAGTGAGGACACAGCAAAGTAAGGACTCCATCCCATCCCATTAGGTAACAAGCCACACGCTGCAAGGTGCCAAAAACCAGTTAGCGGTTGTTGCAGAGCTCTCCAACTGAATTGTACATTCTCAGTGCCAGTACACTCTCGAATACGACCACACCCTCTTCTCTAAGCTAGCAATTTTGACTACCCATTTTTGGTGTCTTCTATGTTTCTTCAAATCTCAGAATCCCTGGGAGCTTGTAAGGAACATCCCTGTCACTACTCCCAAGGGTCCTGCCTTTCAGAGATACCATACCATTTTCCTTTTCTCAATGAAAGCAAGAAAATGCTGGTTTGGGAAAATGAGAACTGAATGAATCATTCTGAAAAATACCATATAGCAACTGGAGATGATTTTCAGGTTAGTTTGGTTAATAACTCTTACAATTCTCAAGCACTAAGAAAGCGTTAGCCAATAAAATGAGTTTGGCCAGGTTAGAATTAATTCCAGCCACCAGGCAATACATTTTTGTCCAGGAGTGGAAAACTAGGCTGGAAATGTGCCATCATCTTCAAGGCTGCTTATCTGCATAGGATTTTTGTTGTTTTCAAAACATAGGATTGTGCTACTCATACAAAAAATCTCTCATCCTTTTCCACCTTCTCATTCCCATTTCCACTTCTGCTCTCTGGAATCGTAAGCAAATGGATTCTTTTTCTCCCCCCATGACTAAATAATCCAATTTACTTCTTAACATGTCAAAAAAATTTTTAAGTTTTAACCATTTTAAAAATGCTTATCACAAGTTTGGAATTTGCAGTCATAGGCATGAATTCAAATCTCAAGCTATTGAGCTACCACCACATTACTCAACCTCTTTGAATCCTGGTTTCCTTATTGTAAAATGAAAAAAATAATGTCTAGTCAAGGTAGATATTGCTAGTTACCTGCCCAATATTAACGCTAGCTTTCTTCCTACTAACAGAATTCTGATTTTGGCAATAGGCCTGGTCAAAACAAAACAATCTTCAGTTCCTCCAGCTCCCTGGCAGATAGAGGTTGCTATGTGACACCTTTGGGGCTAATGAAATGTATGAGGAAGTCACAAGGTGGTTGTGTAAACACCACCAAATAACAGGGCAAACCTAGCCAGGCAGCTAGCTGCCTTGGACCTTGGTTCTTTCTCTTCTTTGATCCTGGAAATTGCTAACAGTGTCCGGAAGTAGAACAGCCATCTATGTCCAAAAAGAGAAGGGTCACATTTAAGGATGAAAGAGCACCAAGGCAGGCCTTGAGGTCTCTGCAGTGGCCCCAGATTGCCCAGCTTCAGTCTACCTTTAACATTTGGAAAATAAACACCACGTTTGATCAAGCCACTTTAGGTGGATGTCTGTGATGTGAAGCTGAATACTATCCCTAACTGATACACTGCTTCATGGAACTGGTGTGAAAATTGAAGATGATAAACCACCAAACTGGGGGAATGTGCATATGCCTGAAGGATGATGCTTAACATATTTGTTTGAAGCAATTATATTATACTCCCCCTAAAATGATAAAAGAGAGCACAGAAAATATTTAACTTTTCCTGAATCCCTAAGGGCCTGATTATGAACAGTTAGCATAAACCTCTTAAAATTACTTTGAAGTAGGCAGGGATAAAAATGATTAAAAGAAGTATTCTATTGTTGCCATAGAATATGGTGCTACATAATATGGTCTATTCCTGTGTTGTACCGATGTAAATGCTGGATTGTTGCTCATGTGCCTCCCTACACTCCAGATGCTGGAGTTCCCACTGCAGCTAGGGTTCTGGATGTAATCTGCATTTGGCTAATTAGATGCACTAACATAACATATAGACAGTGGAGGTTAGGAAGAGGCCACACTTTTGCTACATCTGTGGTGTCTGCTGCTTCTATTTTTCCTAAAATGACATCAGCAAAGATCCCAGGCACTAGCACTGTGGGTTTGGAGAGGCACGTCTCCTTGTGTTCACTCTGTAGCAAGTGAGGTATGGTCTGAAATTGGCAGAGATAGGGGCTTCATGATTGGGAAAGTATTTTTATTCTTATACAGTCCTGATACTAGTGAATTCCTGCTTGCAAAAGAGACATCACTCTTTTGATGACCTTGTTCTGAGTGTGACTTTGGGAGACTTTTCTGAAAGGTCAACCCACAGTCTGGCTCTTTAGTCCTCTGAGCTATCCTATAAGCTATTGAATC